ATACATATATACATATATATATATAATGAATCGAAATTCTCATTTAAAACATTCAAGGCGATCTTTATGCAACCTTGACAACTCTATCAAAGATTAAATTGTTGATACGTCCAACTCTTAATACATCATTTAATAATCTACAACTTTGATAAGAAACTTGTTATAATTTCCACGTTATTTACGATACCGGCACTTTTTCTCCCACTCTCTAAATATATAAATTTCGTTTCATATAATCTTATTTGCAGCAAAAGTTGTACTTGAAAGAATTCGAAAAACAACCAAACGATTAACCAATTAAATTAAATATAGGATCTAATACCTAAATTTGCGAAATCGAATTTGAATCGAATTCTTTCTCTGGAGATAATGCCGAATACATGCTCGTATTTATAAACCACGCGTGAATGAAGTCTGCGAAGAAAATTTGATCGCATCGACGAGAAGCTGGAAGAAACGAGGAAAGGACTCGCGAGATCGTAGATAGAACGTGACCATAAGCCTGACCATGATTCCACGCTATACGCTAGAGAATTACCACGATACTTCGTGGCGCGATTATCCAATTACTAGACGCAAAGCGGAATCCATTATGCACGGCTACTTTTCCGCCGTTCGTCATACACGGCTACTCTACTCGCTATTAATTTCCGTTACGGACTCACGTCTGCAGTTTCGAATAACGAGACGCGCGTCGCGAGATTTTCCAAAATTCTCACACCTGTTTACGATTTATTATTTCATGATAATCCAGAGTTTATGGTGTCGGAAACGTTACGGCTCCTTGTTAAGTGATTTGGATTTTCTGTTTCTTCCTCAACAAGTTTAGAAAGAGAAAGAGAAAAAAGCGCAGATAAAAAATTTGATTAATTTTTACATGATCAAGAACAAGGGTTATATTTTTCTCCGCCGTTCTTCCTTTTACGTCATTATAACAATCGTACAAAATAAATATATCGATAACGCGAAAGAAAAATATTGTAGTTGTAAAAAAGTAATATGGGTTCCCTCAAAGAAAATTAATTTATTAAAATAATATTTCATATGTATAATACAATGTCAAGTTCATTTCTTTTCGCTTTATCTTGGCTTTGTCAAGTTTAGGGCTATAATTAACAGTGCGTATAATCAACATTGACAGCAACCGGTTTTTAGCATGCTCGATGCCGATGGAAAACTCGTTGCTTAATAAGCGACAATGTATGGCCGTATTCGCAAGTATCGAGAGAGGCAGTTGAAAAGTCGTTACGTTCTTTTTTGATTCTCTTAAATCTCTCGGGAATAACGATATATTCACATGGCAATTTCACACTTTTGTTCGCCAAATAATCACGTCATTAAAACATGTTTTGTGTAAAAGTAACTATTACCCATACAGCACACAAAGATTGCATACATATTGTAGCAACATTATTTTATACGTTACACTCGAGTTATATAAAAATTTTTAATTGGATATAGTTTGCAAGAAGATGTAATAATTATTACATACGTAATAATTTTGTTGTGATATGAATTAGTGCCTACATCGTTCGCATCAATCTCATTATCGTCATTCTCGTCACAATTTATTGATAAGTGAGTGTCAATTTCGTAATAGAATCCTTTAATAAAAAAATGCCTTTCAAAACCTTAGGCAAAATCTTTAAGGGCCTCTCTTTCTCTGAAATCGTATCCCTGACGCAAACTGACGCAACTCTCACGCGCCAGATGATTCGCGCGGGAATTCCGATCCCGTTACATGTCGAAATCTGCTTGCAGTATAGGTACCTTCTTTCCATTTATGCCTCAGGTATGGATTACACGGAAGGAACGCGTAAACGCACATTGATTACCAGGAAACTCACTTTCACCGGACCTCGGCAGCGAGTGTTTCTTAAGTCCCGCTTTTGATCGTTTTATTTCTTCATGGGACACTACCCGATCGCGAATTGCGTGTTACAGTAATAAAGAATGAAGTTAATAATTGACTGACTCACACCGAATCCAATTTTCCCGGTTGCCAAAAGTTTTTGACTTAATCGCTATAATTTCAACAAAACGAGAATTTTTAATTTCTTCACCTACTGTCATTATTACATCATGCTTTATCTTCCATCGATAAAGTACTTATAGATTAACCGATCAAGTGATATAGATGTTGGCAATCTCTATTTCTATTTTTATATTTTTATTATATAATATATTATATCACATTTTCCCTATTTTTCTAAAGTTTCCTCTTTTTATTTTAGATATTTAAATATTTATGAGAATAATAATGACAAATTAATCGTTTTAATTTAGATAAGACGAGAATTCATAACTTTCATCCATCGTTATTACATCATGCTTTATTTTTTATTGATATGCATTGACATTTATTTGAAATTGACGAGTCAATCCATTATTAAGAAGTATACGTCTATATTTGCGATTCTATATATATATATATATTTTCTTTCTTTCTTTCTAAAGTTTCCTTGTTATTTTGTTAAATATGTAATTATTTATGAGAATATATTGAGAGACAACGAACTTGTTATCTAAAATAGATATACTATGAACAAAATGGATTTTTATATATACGGCAATTAAAGCGATAAATGCAAAATCCATTGTAAATTCTCACGACGATGGGAGATAAGTTTCGTAAAAAATGTAATCGTGTCAACGCGAGGCAGATAAGGAATGACATATATATATATATATATATATGTTCGCCAACTATCATTTCGCTATCGGTTTCAACATCGCCGAACATATCTTTTATACTGACAAAACAAAATTTCATGCGAAATTGCTGCATGCAATTGTAAGTAATATTTTTTTTGCCATCGTCAGAGCACTCCTCGCACATAATAAGAGGCATCTCGAAAATTGTTGCGAATAATTGATTCGTTAAAAGCGTATACGATCCTCGCCGAAATCGATCATTGCAAACGCAGGTACGAGCATTGTGTAAAGATACGCGTCAAAATTGCGAGGCGCCCATGCAATTAATATGAAGCGCGCAAAAAAATAAAAGTCGAGGAAACACAATAAAATGTAAGATTATAAAGGAACAAGAATTAGGGAATAAGACATTAATATGAAATTTATAGGAAACTTTTTGTCTGAAAATTGAAATCTGATGCAGATATCTACGTAATATTGACGATTAAAGTATTTTACCGAAAGAAGCTCCAAAGAGACGAGTAAACAAAAGAATCTCTTCTTTTTTATTCTTCTCAATTAAATTTTATATTAATGGAATTTAAAATAGAAGCACAGTCAGTCGCAAGATATGTAACATTGAAGATAAAAAAATTATGAAAAAATCTCGTAAAGAAGAGATGATCTTACAATATTCCAAAGAGTGAATATATATTTTATAATTTTGTATTATAATTATCTAGGCACTATATCTATATTCTTTTCCTTATTTCTACTCTACGAAAGAGTGAAATAATTACATTCGCGCTCACCTGGGGAGCTCTCTGGCAAAATTCCTCCTCGGTGAGGGTGGCCAGCGTCGCACCATCCACGTTGAAACTCTCCAGCGGCACCAATGGCAACTGCAATTGCCGTCTGGCCCATTGTATCCAGGCCGCCACATCCGCCGCACTCCAACGTCTCGGTTCTGCAATTAAAAGTCAGAAATCTCATGTTATTCTGCGCGCGGTTGCCGTCAAAATAACGTGATATTCCGAGAAATTTGGATTTAAGAATCATTGATCAAATCAGATCATTGAGATGCTTCAAACAACACTCAAATATTTATATACTCTCTCGGAGTAAATTTTTTTTTCTAATTAATTAGGTATTAATAAGGTACAGGCGTATTCAAAACAGAGTTGTTTGTAAAGCGTAATTGTGTCAATGATCTTCGAAGTGGATCTTCATGGCAAAAGTAATTTCGTGACTCGGCGCGCTTTCACGACGCTTCGTAACTTATTTCAAGCGTGACATCATGGTTCGGACTAATAGACAAACTAATCGCACATATAACGACAACGACGACAATGACGACGACGACGTCGAAACTATGCCTGCGGCAAGGTAACGAGAAGATCTAACGGAGCAAGGTTAGTCGAGAAAATCGAGACACGCGTCGGAATTTCTGATGACTCGATCATAGCCGTGTCATCCATACATCATCGAGTTATACAAGTAAATTTCTGATTACAAAAGGAGAGTTTATATAAATGAATAAAAATATATAAAGAATGAACGAAACTTAGCTTTATAACAGAAGTGAGAAATTTTGGAGATGAATCAAAAATAGTGTTTGACTTGATTTTTTTTTAGTAATGAAAAGTTCCTCTCATGTATCATACGCGTTGTGAAATGATATAATAAGTGTTACAATCTCTCTCTCTTTACTTAAGAATTATCGATATATAATTTTTGCACGGTGAGTCACATGAGGCAATTTTAGCGAAAGAAATCTAATGATAGAATATTTTAAGAAACTCTGGAAGAAATCTTACTCAATAATTATTGTAAAGCTGATAATAATTAATGCGTACGTGATTGCATCCGTCCATGGCAACTATCGCAGAAATAGCGCGTTTACAAAGATATACGCACAAGGTTACGCATTTTATTTTCCAACGAGACAGTATCAATAATCATGAAATATGTGGTTTTATATTCTCTCTCTCTTTTTATAGATTTAATTCTCTCTTTTTTCATTCTATTATTCATAATTTTTATTAAGTTTTGATTAAATTGATTTACATGAATTTATGAAATGACTTATTTTTCACAGCTTTGTATTTTTTAGTAGAAAAAAATTAGGGTGAAATCAAATAGTATGATTCGATCTATACATAAAGATATAAGCGCGATACGAAAAATCGTTGTACGTAAATTCCGATTAAAGTTTGACAAAAGTAGCCGACTCACCTGGATGAATGCCGGAGCGAGGTCGCCCACGCACTCGCCGGCTTCCATGTCCTCGACGTAGCCGGTGCCGACGCCGCCGAGATCAACGGGTCTCAGATTGTACTTCCTCTGGAAGCTGGTATCCCTCAGCACCTCCCGCAGCAGCTGATGGTCGCTCTTCTGACCGTCCTTGAAGAGCTCTTCTTCCTTTCGCAATGGATTCGCTAGCTCCTCCTCCGATCGTTCCACCTTAAGCTGGCTCAGCTTGTCAGGCATCTCCACTAGGTTCTCTTTGCGAGCGACGCCCTTGAAGAGGAGTTCGCGCAACGCCGAGCCACTGCTTTCGAACTCGCACGAAGGGCTGGGCGAGGACGAGGTGGAGGAGGAGGAAGAAGATGAGCCGTTGTTGCTGGAAACAGAACGTGGCTCTTCCTTGAAGAGAATCTCCTTGAGCAACGGATGCCCCTGCATACCATCCTCCTTCTTCGGCAGAAAATCCGCGTCCAGGCTGTTGTAGATATCTTCCTCGCTACGGGGTGGGGTGCAGGGCACCGTGCAATCGGTCGAGTCCTCGCGGTAGCCCAGACTCTCGGCTAAGAGTCTGTAATCATGCGAAAATGCGCGATCCGTCGCTATTAAGAGATTGCGGCGAATAACGGCGTCTAGGATCAAAAGCGCGGCATCGCTGCAACGATGTTAAACGTCATCGTGCGACTCTCGATTATCTAAGACGAAAATTTTTGTTGATTTCAACACAAGACAATTATATCTAACGCCAAACGTACGCAAATATGGATTGTAAAACCAGGGAAAAAAGTTAAAAAATCCATATTATAACTCCTTTTCTTACCAGCAAAGTGACGCAACTATAAAAGATCGCGATGACAAGAGTTTCGAGGAACATAATTTACCTAGACTCCTGAAGAATGGCCAAAAGATCGAGGCTCTTCTCCCTCTTGACCGGTTGCTTGGCCGACGGTTCCGGGCTGGTGGGATAAAACTGGGCGCTCTGGGGGCTTCTGGGTACGTAGTATGGGCTCGTCGGGTATCCCGGCGAGGATCCCTCGTGCGAATAGTTGGGCGACAACGGCAGCTCGCCGTTCTGATACGGTGGGCTCTGATAGATCGTGGGCGATCCTGGACGCGGCGAGCGCGCCTCCTGCTTGATCTGCACGGTCTTGAGACCGAGCTGGTCGCCGGCTAGGCTGTAATCTTCCGGCAAAAGGGACAGATCGAACTGAAAAGTGCTGTAGTCGAACGACGGCGAATAGCCGGCCGCTGTGGGCACCGTTTGCGGCATCTGAGAAAAAAAGCAGAAATTCAAGATCGTACAGATCGTTTGTACACATTTCGTTCGCGAATGATTAACTTGCAAAAAATGTAAAGAAGAGAAAGCGCCGGCTGAGACGCCCGTCGCGCGTTTCTCGTCGCGGCCAAGGCTGATCGATCCGTGAGCAACTCGGCTTCGATTATAAGCGGCTAATGCTAGCAATTAGAGCGCGATTGTGGTTTTGTGGTACTGGACCGGTGATTGCAAATGCGTACATAATGGACGAACCGGCTTGCGATAACGTTGTAACAGCGCGAGCGAGCGAGCGAGAGAGAGAGAGAGAAAGAGACGCGAAAAGGAAAACGCCGAAGATATGTGTTCCATGAAATCTTATTCAATCATATTACATTGTAACTTTATCTTGCGGAACACATATTAATCATACATATATATATTTACTCATAAAATTGCATACAGATGGATTATTATGATTATTATCGTGGAAATCGGGTTCTATAGAAGTTACGAGATAATGGCAAACAACGCTAGATTTTTCATGACTATATCATTCATAACGGATATAATTCCCACGGGATAACAGAGCGGTGGATCGTAAAGTATAAAACGCGGCCACATGTTATAAAACAATACATATGTACAAAAGAGGCAATAAACTGGACCCCGCCTTTTGTAGTCTCTACAATGCACGAGATTCTTGATATCGATTCGCGCGAAAGCGAAAATCGCTGCGGTACCGCATCGGACGAAATACTTTCTCTGAGAGTCCCGGATGGACCCATGATCGCCCGTTTATCTTTCAGCGTGTTTATTGCCCGTCTTGCGTTTGACCCCGCGTCAGTTTGTTACGCCCCGCGAGTCGCTTAAGGCGATCCTCCTGCTGCTTGAAATGAGCGACTGTTCCGAAACCAAGGAGAGATTAAGGAGAAAGAAGATGAAATTAGAATTATATTTAAACCTATTTATCGCAACGAAAATTTTGTAAAAATAATATAGTAAATTCTATAAATATTAAAGATAAAATAGCACTAAGTTAAAAAAAAAAAGTTAAAAAAAAGTATCGCTGAAAAAAGATTATATGCTAATATTAAAATACATCTTCAGTATGTGACAAAATATTTATGTATATTTAGATATATTTTAAAAACACAGAATTTAAACAGAATTTAAAAAATTATAAATTATATAAATTATAAATTATATTTTCTCTTCTTTTTCAAAATGTGCAACCCTACGTTTGATTTAAAGAACTCATCACGTAAAGATGATTCCTTCCAATTCAAACACTGCCATATGTGACTAAAGACTTAAGTTGCTTTAAAGCAGGCGAAGAGTTGCACATCTCAATATTTTAAAAAGAGGAGGTAAAACATAATTTACAGAATTTATGTTCTGTCTTTCGTTCTGACAAAAATTGACTGAGAGCATGTAATTTGCATACTTTTCTTATTAATATCAAGTCATAATTTTGCCGCAATACTGTTATTTAATTAGCGCAATTTTTGCATTTTTATTCCGTTATACTATTCAATTCTTTTAAAGAAATATGGTTATATGCTCGTTTATGTGAGAACGAAAGCGTTGAAATCCTGAAAACGGGCTTTGGTATCGTGCTCTCGGATCGTCTCGGCGCTCATCTCGTGCGCGGCAAACAAAACGCTCGAGATACGAGTCGAGAGACGAAACACTCTCTCTCTCCCTCTCTCTCTCTCCCGCCGGCGGGCCCCGGTGTGGTGCACCTTAAGGGCCCATTTATCTCTACGTGTGTTTATTGCCCGTCGTGTGTTTGACCTCGCATCAGTTTGTTACGCTTTGTAAGCCCATTACAAAGTTCCCAGTGCATCTCCCCTGCGCTCAGGCGGGGTCGCATCTGACATTTTGACGTAGTGCCCCGCAAAGGTCGACGCGAAATAAACGATTATGCCCAACGGACACAGGTACGCGCGCGGGCGCGGGGGCTCTCAGACAACGTAGAGACACAATACCTCTGCCACTTTGATCGCACACGCCACAGCGCGCGATCGCGTATACGTGAAGGGATATGTACACGTGCACACGAGTACACGGGATAGGAGCACCAAAGAGATACGCGAGCGAGCGCGGCAAGAGCGCACTCACTGCTTATTCTTTCTCTCTCTTTCTCTTTCTCTCGTTCTTTCGTTCTCTCGAGGCCTCTCGAAAGGTTCCAAGGAGAAAGAGAATGTTTATCTATACACTGATGGAATCTAAGAACGTCTCTCAAGAGGGAACCTTCCTTGGGTTTACCTCGCGTAGAATCATGAGGCTCGCGAGCGACACCGCGATTAAGCGAAAGAAATCAGCGTTCTCCAAACGCAGCTCAGCATTAACATTGAGATATTTAAACCTGAAACTTCTGGTAACCCTTATCGTGTGATAAGCAAACTAAACAGATACAATATTCCCTCGTTTATCTTATTTTATACATATTACGAAATGAGATGAATCGTTATCGCGAGAGGCAAAGAAGATATTTCGGCGAAATTAATTAATCTCCTCGGCCAATTGCGCGGCAAATGTACGAGAATAGCTATCTCATGGAGAAAAATCTTCTCATGGTTCTCTTTGGATTTCGCTGCCTTCCTCTCGAGCATTTCGCAAAGACAAGCGCCATTGACGTCACGCGTTCGACTAATCGCCGGTGCAGCTGCAAGGCATTCTCCCCTTCCGCGCGCAAAACGCGGGATTCCGCTGGAGTCACGGACCGCTCAGTCAACGGGACGACCTCGTAATTTTCGAGAGACCGTCTCGTTCCGTTTAAACACCGTAATCTGTTTGCGATTACACGGCGGCACCTGATTTTCCGCCGAGTTTCTTCTTTTCGCACAAAATAATCTCTCAAAAACGCGTTTGTGCGTGTTTGGTCTCTCTCTTATACATTAAAAAAATATATCGTTGTTAACGAGGTCATTGGATAATTTCTAATGCATCTGTTGCAATCTTTTAGAATCCCCAGCGCGCTATTAAAATTCAACGCTGATCATTTATCGCGATTCCGAAAATGGCGCGAAAAGAGAAACCCGCCGAATCGAAAATTGATAAACGGAATAATGAAACATCGGATTTTATTTTGATAAGCAATATCTCGAGCGTTATTAAATGCGAGTACTGCAATTGCGTGTACGGCATGTGTAACCGAAAAGAGTTATCGCCGTCGAAATGTCTGCAATCGCCGCGTGATAACGCGCGAATTATCGGCTCGATTTCGTAATGATCGAGATTTTTCACGATCCTGTCGGACTTTAGACAATCACGGTGACATTTCGGGCGAGAAATCGCGACCTTCGATAACACCGCGATCACGAAATGAGAGACGAAAGGCGCGCTCGTTCTCCTCCCAGTATATCGCAGTTCTCGTTCGCACAATCGTAAAGATATCTGTCGCGAATTTGAATATGCATTATTCCGCGCTCAAAAAAAGGAAGGCTGAAAAATTACAAGAGACGGTTGTAAAAACTGGAATCTCTCTAAGATGCATGCCGAAAGGTGCGCGCCGACGCACATAAGTCGTCCATAAGTTTATTACACGCGCGATATTCTCCGAATAAATCGCGCGTTGTTTTCGCAGCACAAATTACACATTTCAATGTTTGGTGAAATCGGAACGCTACAGATGAGCTTGGATGTAACAGCGATTTTAAATAGCTATAAATGTCTAGCACACCTGATACATAATAAGTCTAATCACGCTTTCGACTTCAACTTAATGGATTTAAGAAAATGGCAATGTACTTCTTCGTGGAGGATAACTTGGCGAATTATACGCGGACGGAGTTTCAATTTAAATTTCTCTTCATGATATTCTAATTATATTGAATAGAGGATCAAGTTGGAGGAGATATGTTACTTTTATACGATACAGAGTGATCTCTCGGGAATTCTTTAAGTGGTTCATGAGAGAGAAGAGCGGAAACTATTAAGAGCAACGACATCGTGATGCGCGAAATCATCCTCGATTCTATTATGATGTAAGAGATTTAGAAAGGATTCTGACGTCATGCGTATCTACCTAATACACAGCTAGCGATGCAGTAACTCTAACAAGATGCGATCTGTGCATACTTATATTTCTATTTTCGTCTATTTTTCTACCAATTTAGTTAACGAAGAAATATAAAGAGACACCTTGATTTTAATTTACACAACTGCATCTTTGTCTTCGCTGTATAAATTCCGCCCAGCAATTAAACGAGCCATTCTACTGTGCTTGATACTCTTGTTAATTACCTCACCTTGCGACCACTCGACTTGGTAATGTCGTCGTTAATATGAGACATACACAGGCAAAGAGGCGTAAAACGTTTCGAAATCCCGAAACTTCTTACCGTGCATTTTTCGAATTCGCAAGTGATCACCACACATGGGGTGTGCAATTTTGTATTATATTCAGAATGTTCCGCGAAGTAAATAACGACTTCGATATTCTTTCTACGGGGAAAAATCGACTCCAAATTGGCCGGTGGATCTGTCATTAAAATGTCACGCGGTGGAAGCGGGACATACACCTTGTACACAGATCAAGACATATATACACGTAAATGTCTTTATCCGCATCATCGCGTCGTTTTACGAGCCGGGATATTTATGACAGAAATTTCTTCCCGAATTATCATTATTGTGACAAGACGCGATGCCGCGGGACCGGTATTATTTCTACCTTTTGCCGGGCATTCCACTCGTCCATCGTGCAATTAATTCCACTAACGCTAAATGCGGCAAACTGATGTCAGCCGCTTCAACCTGAACGCGAGAATTGCGGCTTGCGTGCGTCATACGCGCTGAATTACTCTACAAACCTCGTTTCCAGTTCGTCGCCCATTCAAACTCGTCTCGGTCCGGAACGCGCAGCGTACGCGCTTTCGGCCATTAAAGCTAAATACTTTAATATACAAGTATATAACGCGAGGATAAAACACGCCGACTTTTGTTCCTCGCAAAAAAAATTAATTAATTAGTTTGAAAGATGTAATTGGTGAATATTTCTCGATCCAATT